AAAACTAACCTTAAATTTGTTAAACTTCTGTAAAACACGTGTTTCTGTAAAACACATACATTCTTGAAAGATTTATGTTATAAAAATTGCTAAATATGAATAGAGAACAGAAAGTGCAATATTTAATTGTTGATACAAGTGCTTTCATCCAGAATGCACCTTTACAGGTGAAGTTTTTCTTATATAAATATAATGTTAATATAATTTACCTATTTTTTTTTATATGTCATTAGTAGCATTTTATATGTCATTAGTATCATTAGTAACAATTATTAGATTGCGGATTAGATTATGCATTTATAGAAAATTTGAAAAAAATTCACAAAGTTTTATGAAATTCCGTGAAAAATACGTAAAATAGATACAGTATTTCTTTATAATATTTACGTAAAACTGTCTATCGAAGTTTTAGTTCTTTAATTACATTCTCAAAAATATGAATTTGTTGTCGTATAATTTTGTAATATTGTATAACTGTTAGTAATGTAATAACAAAATATATAATATTCTAGGATATTGGTGTAAACATAATAACAGAGCAAGATGTAGTAAATGAAGTTACAAGTAAAAGACAATTGAGAAGACTTGTTGTTTTACCATATGACTTAAAAATACAAAATGCATATCCTGAAAATATTAAATTTGGTAAAAAGATTTGATTTTGTTGAAATAATACTTTAATATATAATGTTTATTAATTTCTACTTAATATTTACAGTAATAGAATTTGCTAAAAAGACTGGTGATTACAGCAGTTTATCAGCTACTGATATAAAAATAATTGCATTAACATATCAGCTAGAAAAAGAAAAAATAGGAATTGATCATTTAAGAACTGAACCAATAGTAACACAGACTGTAGATTCTAATGCTGAAAAATCTGAAGATCTTCATACATCCTTAGCTGGTTTTTATATGCCAAGGAAAAAAGTAAATGTTTCTTTGATTAAAATAATAATTTTTGATTAAAATAATAATATAATAATTTATTAAATATTTATGTTAATTAAATTTTTTTAATTCTCAGGAAGATATTGATGAAGAAAATATAAAAGAATGTGATGATGAAGAATCAAAACAAGAAAAATACTCAGAAAATAATCATAAGAAAGAAATAGCAATAAATTTGAGAAATCGTGCAATGAATATGAATCTTGAAGAAACAGAAGAAGAAGAATCTGAATCAGATTATAAGGAATCTTGTAGTGTTAGTGAATCTGATTATGAAACAGCAGAGTCTGAAATAGATCAGAACAGAACAGAAGATTTGTCTACTAAATTTTCAAGATTAACTTGTGAATCAACAAATTTTATACTTCAAGATAAAGATGATATTGAACATAATGTTGATGACATTCTGATTCCAATTAAAGAAAACAATGATAATACAGATAAATATAATGAGTATAAAAATAATAGAAATGATGATAATAATGATAATTATGAGTATGAAGATGATGATGATGATGATGATGACAGTGGTTGGATAACATCTGGTAAGATTCTTCAATATCTCATATAACTATACATATAAATAAAGTATCTCTTTTTTTATTTTAGGAAATATTAGCCGTATAAAGAAAGAACTTGATTCAGATTTTCTTGAACAAAAATCTGTAACTATTGCATGTTTAACAATGGATTTTGCTATGCAAAACGTTTTAAAACAAATAGGATTAAATGTGGTTGCATTAGATGGAAGAATAATTAAACAAATGCGGACATATATTTTTAGATGCCATGCGTGTTACAAAACCACTAGTATTATGACAAAAATTTTTTGTCCTAATTGTGGTAATAAGACATTAAAAAAGGTTGCAGTTACATTAAATGAAGCAGGAAAACAAGAAATTCATATCAATTTCCGGAGGCCACTTTCAAAAAAAGGAAAAAGAGTATGGCTTTCATATTTTTTTCATTTTTCTTAATATATATATTTACTCAATATAGTAATATTCTACACAAAAATTTAAAAAATTTCTAGTTTTCTTTACCGCTTCCAAAAGGTGGAAAACATGCAAACAATCCAATACTCTGTGAAGATCAACCATTACCTGATCAAAAACCGTCAAGACTAGCACGTACTAAAAATAATCCTTTAGAAGATGATCATATAGCTGAATACTCTCCATTTGTTATGCGTGATGTACATTCTAAATCAGCTATGTTGGCTATAAAGGCAAAAGGTCCTGCTAAATATTGGATGCAAAGAAATCCAAATGAAGTTAGAAGAAGGAAATAATTATTGTGTCCTTATTTATATTTAGATAATAAAAAAATAACATATATATAAATTAAATATTATCCGCCTTTATTTTTATTTTCACATATCAATATTTTAACTAAATGTATGAGTTTTAAACTGTAATTAATAAACATATAAAATTGTTTAAAAAATCATCAGTTTTATTAATTAACATATAAAAAAAAATTGCCCCGGGTGAGGATCGAACTCACGACCTTAAGATTATGAGACTTACGCGCTGCCTACTGCGCTACCGAGGCTAGTGTGTTTTGTGTATTTTTGTAAAATAATATTAAGAAGGATTTAATTAATAATCAAAAATACATGTCTATACAGAGTTGCCAATCGTATAGACAAAATGAAAATTATCCTCGCTTATCACTCTACTCTCCGGCTATTCCTCTATGCGAAGAATATGTGACATATAATCTGACGTATATATACTCTCAGATTATACTGATCATAATTTTTATCATAAAAAAACATTTATATTTACAACAATAACTTTTATATATTTTTTAATGTTGAATTCAAATATGCAAATTATTTTTCTCAATCATCCTCAGTTTTTGAGAAAATTTTCAACTTTGAACATCTTTTTTATATTTTAACTGTAAAAGTTAGTCAAATTTTTTTTTACAGAAAATGACTATATTTTCATTATATGAGTTCAGCATAAAAAATACTATAAAAATCATATATTAAACTTTTTGTGATAAAAAGAATGTGAAATATTATAAATCAGTGATAGGCAGGCACAGTCTGTTTTCCTGGTGGGGGAATTCAAGGAAGGAAGGAGTAGAATAGTGAGAGTAATGTGACATCACCTTGTCTTTACAATTGGCAATTCTGATCATATACTCAATGCTCATGAAAAGTTTTAAAAAGTATCAATACTAGTATGCAGAATATTTATTTAACATTGTAAAAGTAGAAATATTATTTATTATCTAAAAAAAATAACATCATTAATTTTATTATTAAAAAATGCTTAGTCCAGAAACGTGGAATTTTAAATCACCTCAGTACCATTTTTCTACTGAAAAAAGAGATTACAAGAAAAGTGATATACCAGACGTAGTTAAATCACATTATTTTAACCATTCTGTACGTAATTGTAATTAATTCTAATTTCATAAAAGTAATGCTTTAAGAAAATCTTTACATAATTCGCAAATACTGTTGGCTTTTTGCCAGGTATCTTTGGTACTTCCTGATACAACTAAAATTCCGGACGAACTGCGAACTTGTCTTTCGGAAGATAGCGATTATTATCGTATTGATGGGCTAAATGTATTTGAATTAATAAATAAAGAATTTATTGAAGCATTCGTCAAAAAAGGTAATTGATTAAATAATTTTTATTAATGTTTGCCAGTGCTTATTAATTGATCTTTATTTTTATACAAAAATTTGTAAATACAATTGAAATAATAAAATGTTATTTTAAATATTTTATTATTTTTAGGAGAGTTGACACTTTTAACAATAGGAAATAAAATAGATATAGATAATTCAGTTGCTATTACACCAACTGGACATTTAATATTATCTTTATTAACAGAGGATTATCAAAAACTTGGTTTAGAAGGCAAAGCTTCCTTCTTCGACCGTAAAGTGCATACACGTTATGGTAAGTTCTAAGAAGAAAACTAATAAATTTCAAAATGCCAAGAAAGCATCAGGTACATAAGCTGGTGGATCTAGCATTACATTCTATTGGAGAGTTTGTAATTATTTTTGGTAGATCCTTGACAAAATATATTTGCGTAATTTCTAAAACTAATCCAGAATATGGACATGCTAAGTTACATTCAATGTTAGAATTTATGAAACATTTATTAAGCTACAATATACCTCGACATCTATATGATAAAATGTCTAGAACAGTATTAACTGCAATTGTTAATTTGGTCAAAGAAACTAGAGGCACATATAATGATTATGCTTTAACTACAACCTTTTTATCAGAGATAACAGTTGCTCTTCATTTAACAGAAGTGGTTGTAGATACACATTTAAGAATGATTGAATTTTCTGCTTGGCCTAAAATAATGCGTCATATTCTTTACAATAAATTACCTGACATGATTGGTCTTGAAGTTTTGGACTTAGGCTCAGGATCAGCTGGTTGGAGAATATCTGATATTGAAAAAATTATTATTAGTGGCATAACTACTATGCCAAATTTAGTATGTTTTGTTTTGTGTTTTGATTGCACAGATAACATTATAGCAGCTCTAGCACAGAACTGTAAAAAACTTCAGAAGTTAGATGTAACTGCATCTAAATCTGTAACAGAACGCAGTATTGGCCCCTTACTGTCATGCAAATATTTAAAAGAAATTAAGTTATGTAAAACTTCTGTGACTGTATCTGGTTATGCAACTTTCTTTCTAGAACACTTAAATATAGAAGATATTGGTAGATGTGATGAATTTGGATATGTTTTAGAGCATATTCATCAGAAAGATATTAACTCAACAAGTTCTTTTCACATAAAAAAATTTGAATGCAGAAATTTGAACGCAGAACATTTATATCTTCTGATTGATATGTGTCCATATATTACAACTCTTTGCATATTACGCGATGAAAGAATTATGGATCTCACAATTTTAGCTGCTCTTAATTACTTAAAAGAATTAAAACTTCTGTCTTGTGATTTTTATACCCATGGAATAAAAACGCTATTAGAAATAAAAGGTTGTACAATTACAAGTCTACATTTGGAACATGTAGATGGAATTGACTTGAATGCACTTATATCTATAAGTCAATATTGCCCAAATATAAACAATCTAGTTTTCTATAACTGTGAATTATTAGAACAAGGACCAGTTTATCCAAGAAAGTTTGCAGTTTCTCCATTCCAGAATTTAGAAAGAATCAAATGTGTAACAGAATGTGCGAACATACATCTAGAATTTTTACTCTCATATTGTAAAAACATTAAATTTATTCAACTGGGTTCATCAACTGGTATTGAAGATGAAACAATAAGAAGAATATTTTCACAAAACCCAATGCACAAATTAGAAGAGCTTAAAATATTGTATAGTCATGATTTATCAATGAAAACTATACAATTATTAATGCATTCTTGTGATAATTTATATCGTCTATCAGAATTAGAAAATTGGCAAGGAATATCTCCTGCAGAATTAAATATGTTTAGAGAAGAGTTAAAAAATACTAACGTCAACTTGGATACAAGTCCAAGCTTATCTTTTGCATAATAAAATATTAAACCTAACTAGATATTTATAAATGGTTTAAGAAAAAAAAAAAATATATATATATATACTATTTGTGTAGAATGTTTAAAAATATAAAGTCACAAAAAAATAAAAATACTTATATATTTCAGTAGTTTTTATTCAAATATAAATAATAATTAACAGTTTTAAAAGTTTACTGATGATGTTTTAAAGTTATTAATGTTTTTTTTTGTCGGTAACATAAATCAAAAGTTATAACTATTGATTTAAAGTCTGAAAGTTTTACACCTGGTAAAAAAAATTATAAACACGTTCAAACGTCACTAAAGGAGCGCCTTAATAAGCAATTCAATATAATTGTGTCATGGAATCCACCAGGTAAATTTTTTGTTATCTTACAATTTTATTACATTCTTATGAAATAATTTTATTAAATTTATTTTATTCTTATATTTTCAGATGATAATCTATGCCCTTCATCTGTGGCAGCATGGTTTCATAAATATAACTATAATGTATCTCTGTGTCAACAAACATTTTTACAAAGAATTGAATATTCTTTACCCATACCAATAATTTCTGATGAATTAGATAACGATAAATTCTTTGAATGGCTTGGAGTTCTTAGTATCTGTGGTAACATGTATGTATAAATTTAAATAAAATAAATAAATTTAAATAAATAAATTTTGAATTCAAAGTTTAAATAAATAAATTTTGTAATAAGTTAATCTTTTTAGGAATAATGATATAAAGAATGATTATGTAAACACATATCAATGTCCATCACCATTTATAAACGTTGGCCAAGTACAATATTTACAGTGGACTGGTTTCTTTACAAGAAAACAAATTAAAAGTTTATACACTATTATGAAAGAATATGTATCAATGACACACACTTTACCATGGGCAGCTTTACATGTTCAAGGATTTTCAGACAGTCCTGTTAGTTGGATTTTAAAAGAACATACATTTTATACGGATGGTGATAATAGCTATACTATTGTATGTAGACCAGGTGCTCATTCTATTATACGTAAAAGTTTAAGTTCAAATAATAAACCAAGAATTTTTCAATAATTGTAATTTTATTATAATCGATAAATATTAACTCTTTTATACTAAGAAGTAAAATATATTTACTGTATGTATTATTACGATATAATAGTTAGGAATAAGACTGTTTTTTAACACATACAATATTACAATTACATCAATATTTTAATATTTAAGTTTTTAATACTTCAAGTAAAAGAATGTGCAAGTATACAATTTTATAAACTACCTCGATATGAAATAGATTTTTATAAATTATTAACTCTGTGGGGTTTTAAAATTTTTGGTATCTTTTTGCTGCTATTAATTTTTTATTACTAATCCTATGCAACAGAAACATATGTAGTACTATATTATTTTTTTCATTTGTAGTATTTTAATATTGCACATACTAAAAATTACATAATCAAAAAATAATTACATTATTAATTAAATTAATTATTGTAAAATTACAAGACTAGAAGTCAGTCTGAACTAAATACTTTCATTTATAAATTAAATTAATTTACAAAAAAATAAAATATACTATGATCAAAATAATTTACCACATACATAGTTTTTTTAAAATTTCTTAAGATTCTTCTGCGAATAAATATATATATGTAATAAATAAAAAATATATATATATAATAAACTATAGAAGTTGCTATAGACGTTAATTTTGTCGCTTTAATTGAATATAATATATCCTAAAATAAAAAGACAACATATGCTAACAAATTGTATCAATAAGACTGTTAAGTTATGTAGTTATAATTCTCTATAATATTGAATACCTTTATATTAATACGTGAGAACTGTCTGATTCAGGAAATTTAACTTTAGAATTATAATAAAGATCGTCCACACCAGAACCGGACATACGAGATTTAGAACGTGCCATAAGTTCACCCAATTCATCAAAATCTTTATACCTTAAAATATGAATATCAAAAATAAATATATGTTATTATACCTATTATTAATACATATTTATATACATTATACATATATAAATAGATTTGTACATGAAGCTTACCTACTAACTGGACGACTATGATTTTCAGATGATTCTGATGAATTTTTCATAATTGAAAATCGGTCGTCTGTATTAAATGATGCTACGTTACCTGTTAAAGGTTTAATATTGTTATTTAATATTTCATTTAATAAAAAAAATATATAAATATTATTTACCTGAAGGAAAAAGCATTGTATGCTTTAAAAGATCACCATTCATAAATGGAGAAAGGCTATCATCTTCTTCCGGTAATAAGTGACTGCTGGTATCATTTGTTATAGACTCTACCATTTCCAACCATTGTTGATTATGCGATCTAAACTTTTCTACTTTTATACGAGCTGCCCAATTTTTATCACACATCTAAAATTTCAAAATACCAATTTATTTATTTTTTTTTAAATTTTATTTTTAAGATTGCATCAGGCTTTAATACAATATTACTTAATATATGGAAAATTATTTTAAAAATGTACTTACAGCAATAACATCTAAACAGGCATCACAAATTTTTCTAATTGCTGGATTTTTATCATGCATAAGATCTATTAAATATCCAGGTGCTTCTATTAGTAACAAAAATATTTCATTAATAAAAACATGTCAAATCTTTTATTTTCCATGCAAGTTTTACCACAATATTGTATGTTTTAATAATAAAGCAGAAAATTTGATTATTACCATTACCAGTCTCGCGTATTAAATAGTCTCTTGTCGAATCATGTTTAGATATTTGATAAAAAACATAAATTATTTGTAAAACCATTTCATCATCCTCTTGTTTTGCTGTAAAAGTTATTTTTTATTAAAAGATAATATTACACATACACGCACACACATACACCATAATATACAAACCTTTAAGGAGTTCAATAAGAGAAAGCAATATATCAGCTTTGCACAGTAAACGTGCACAATCTTCATCGAATGCGGCAGTGCCCAAAAATATTACAATTTCAAGTACTAAATCATCTGGAGCTTTACCTAAATAAAATTAAAAGTGTGTATAAATAAAATGTAAAAATATTTAAAAAATTGATGTTTAATTTAATATTAATTTCGAACCTGGAACAAGATTATTGCGTATCCATGGTATCAAATCACACCGATGAAGTATTTGTGAATAATCCAAATCAGATAATTCTAAATTTCCTAGCACACCTATAACTTCAAGTACAAAATCTTGAGAATCTGATTGATTTAAGGCCATAGCAAAATCACCCACAAATTCCTAATAATGATTAAAAGTAATTTTTTAATACTCCTATCAATAATAATTATTTCGTACTATACAGTTAATTACTTACAACAAAATTTTCTTTTGTTGAATCATGTTGAGAAATATTTCGAATCATTTTCATGATTAAAGGATCTTGAGTTCGAAAAGCTTTTTTTATGAGACCTTGCAAACGATTATTTTCTACCATAAGTTGCGCGTTTTTACCATTAATTGCCAGATTTATACCAAGTGCAATTAATTCTAATTTTAGTTGATCATCTTCAGTATTTAGAATCATATTTATGATCTTAAACACATTTTAATTTAATATAGCATTTTTTAACATTATAACATTTTTTTATATGCTTTATAAATATTAGTTATAGTTATAAATATTACTTACCATTTGGATACATTCAGTATTTATAAACATAGCTTTTACTTTATCATCCATACTAGCATGATATAATAAACCCAAAATTGTGGTTTTATTTTTAATGTCACTTTGCCCAAGTAGTTTAATTAACTTTGGTAATAAACCTACTCTTATCATTTTTGCTCTAAGCTTTGCATCAAAGGAAAGATTAAATAATAATTTTAAAGTACTTAGAACAAGATCTGCGTTATTACTTTGAAGCAGCCTTGGAATCTTTTCAATAATATTTTCTTCAGCCTAAAAAATAATAAATAAAACTATGAATAAGTAAATACATATCATTGTTATGTAATTTCACATTTGAAACTTTACCATGAGATCCTTATTCTCGCGAAATATAGATAACTTTTTCAAAAATGCAATGACGAGGATCAACAAATCCATATTTGTCCTATCTAATGTTTTAATAAGCATACCAATTACATTCTTTTTACGCATTTTTCTTTCAACTTCCATATTTTCGGCGATATTTAATAACAAATAAAATGCAACTATAAAATGAATTTTTATATAATATTTGAAATTTATTGACATTAGCAAAATATGAATTTATGTACCAACCTCGTAATAATTGTTCTTGTTTTTTTATTAAACTTTTGAATTTTTTACGATTTTTTTCGAGTTCCTCTTTTAATTTTTTTACATCGTTTTCAGTTACAGTAACAGTTACTTCATTAGATCGTTTTTTAATTTCATAATCTAAAGGGCCATCTGTATTCCAAATATCATCCACAATTTTTGTTTTCTTGTCACAATTATCGTTTCCAGTTAAAAAAAATGTCAATCCTGTAGTATTTTCAAAATGACGCCTACGTTTTTCCATATCCTCTTTCCATTGGTCATATCGACGTAATTCAAAGTCAATTATATCCATACACAAAGATCCAATCTAAATATGAATAATGTATTGAATACATTTTTATCTTTTTTCATTCTAATTTAATCTTATAATACTTACTCTATATTCAAGAACAATATTGTGAAATTGACTATATGTTGAAAAGCAAAAGAAAATATACACGATATTTGTAGATAGTTCTATACTTCTCCTCCAATCTTCTCTTAGAACTCTGGCTAAAGCACTTAATAAAGATTCTAAAAAATATAGTATTAATTATTTATAATGAAAGAAAAAAAAGAATAAGTAAATAATTATTAAATATCCAATAACCATTTTTTGTTAATTCATGAAGATTATCAGGTACTCTTGCTAACTGTAAAATTAATGATGAACCTTTGATTTTTCCTGGTATTTCTTCATATAACAATTCAATATAATTATCAACATTGCTAATAACAGCACGTTCTGTTTCACTATTATCTGTAGATACCGAATTTGATGATGCTGGTCTTGAAGGTTGAGAATTGTTATCACTGTCTATAATAAAATGGATACACAATGAAAGAAATGAATAATATTATCAAAGACAATTTTTTATGCGTATAAAATCTTACTCATACTGTCATTTGTTTTACGATTCTGAAGATAATAAATCAATTGTTCTACTTCACGAAGCTTTGATTCGTGTATCAGAGAACATTTTTCAATAACTTCTTTAGCTAAAAGTGATACATTTGTGTCTGCATTTAAACTTTTCAGACGAATTATTTTCTGACATTCCTATAAATAAATTTAATTTGTAATCACATAATCATCCCAATTAGTAGAAGTAAATTATTTAAAACTTACTTTACGATCTCCCAACATAGGATCTCCTAATTCACCCAAAATTAATGCCTCAACATCATAATTTACTACTAAAGCTTTTTCTGTCGGATGCACATCTAAAGTGCCAGACCTTACTTTTCTAAATTTTAAAAATGCATTTAATATTGTTACAATCTATATCCTTTCAAAGAGATATGAAATATTAAATATAAAATATGTATATTTCTCAAATTTGTGTAATAATTGTATAATATATAATTAATAGTAAAGTAATATGAGTAGATTGCTTACCGTTTTAGAAATTTTGCCTCATCCATTTTAATGCTTTATTTGCAATTTAAATTATTAAGATATTACCTTATCAGTTATTATTTCATTTTCATGGAAAAAGTCAAAGATATAACTACCATTTATAGTACGTTTAGGTTCTTTGTCGCCCTGTTTTATTTCGATTATATCTTTTTAGTCCAAAATAACGCCATCTATTTTAACTTAATGTACTATCTTTGAAATTCAAACTCTAGTTAACAGTAAATAAGATAATAATTATATTAGATGTGTAAAATACAATTGTTAATATTTTATTAATATAATTCAATGAACAATGCAATATAGTGCTCAGATTTATATTTAAAATTTACTTACTCGTATAGCGTTATTTCTATGTCATGTGTTAAGAAATATCTCATACATAACTAACCAGTATATATGTAGTTGTAAATACATCTGTAGTTACACTTAATCACATTTTAAACTTAGAGTACTTAATGAGATTATAATTTATGTCCGTCACAAATATCTACAATAAGAAATTAAAATATTCAGCATATTGGTAATTAGAGGTATAAACAATAACCAAATATTATAAGTTAAATTAAATATTAATAGATTATCTCTATTAATTTCATTCTATTATTTTAGTTATTTATGAAGAGCAAACACCGAACCTGCTACATAATTAAAATGTGTATTAGTAATATTACAAAGTTGTCATATAACTAAGAATAATTCATCTTTTTGTATATATCATAATAGATAATTAAAATAGATAATTAAAATTTCAGTTTTAATAAAGATTTATAAACCATGCAGTGAAAGAGCCAGCAAATATTAGTTTAGCTATATTGAGAGGGCCAGCAAGCTTAGCTACAGTGAGACTCAGCTTTATATTATAAAATAAGTAATAAAACATTTTTAAGTTAAAATGACAGGAACCAAAGTTATTATTGATTGTGATGCTGGTATAGATGATGCACTAGCATTAATAATATTAATCGCTGCTCATAAACAAGGGAAAATTCAAATTAAAGCAATTACTTGTGTTAATGGCAATACAAGTGTAAACAATGTAGTAAAAAATGTATTTAGAACTTTAGATGTTTGCAAAGTAACAGATGTAAGTTCTAATTTCTTAAATATTATTGTGTTTTTAATTTAATGGATATATATTAACTATCTCATTTATTTTTAGATACCAGTTTTCCAAGGAGCACACGCACCTTTACTTTGCATTAAAAATGCAGCTCAAGATTACTATCATGGTAATGATGGATTTGGTGATGTATATGATACAAAAATAGATACAAATAAATTAGAACAAGAACATGCTGTATATGCTTTAAATAAGATTGTATCAGAATATCCCAATGAAGTGAATATTTTATGTATAGGACCATTAACAAACATAGCATTAGTAGTAAAAATGTACCCTAAATTTATGGATAATGTGAAAGAATTTTACATTATGGGAGGAAACACAACAGGTAATATTTATTCCCTTTATTTCTTTTTATTAATCATTTTTTTTATATTTTTATTCATTTTCATTATTTACATTAGCACAAGGAAATATTACACCTCAAGCAGAATTTAATTTTTACATGGATCCTGAAAGTGTACATATAGTATTTAATAATAATAAAAAACGTTTATGGCTATTACCATGGGAAACATGTTTAAAATCCCGTATTTCACATGTTTGTATATTGATTTAAATATTAGTGTAAATGACGATATGATAAATTTTTAACACAATTTAATATTTTTTAAACATGATTTAATACTTTTTAGGAATGGCGAAGAGACATATTAGGTCAAATGGATAAACCTTGTATTCAGCTTATGAATGATATTGAATATGCATGTCAGAAGAAAAGAAAAAAACAATTTCCTACTTATATTATGTGTGATGCAATTTTAGCTGGAATATTATTAAGGCCAGAGATTGCTCAAAATATAGTCTCATATCATGCTGATATTGAATTAAATGGCAATAGAACACGAGGTCAAGTTGTACTTGATCATTTATTGTCAAATGAACCTAATGTACTCCTAATTCAAGATTTTGATTCAGAAATTTTTAAAGAGCTCTTAATATTTTCAGTCAATAATTTAGATAATAGATAATACAATAAATATATAATAAAGCTAAAATTATATTCGTATGGACAGGAATAATATTTGTGTATATGTATGTTTCTTATACCTGCATTATCTTTTTATAAAAACACAAGAATGCTTTTTATACATTATTCAAATTTTAATAGGAATGTTTCTCATTTTGAAATATTTAAACGATGTCGCATTATACTGTAAAATAGTACAAATGTAATGTTATACTGTTTATTATTCAATATATTTACAATATATAATTATCTGAAATAATAAAAAAATAACTTGACTAATGTAGAACATTGTAAAAATTTCTTAATACTTCAAATTACTAATAAATTATAAATACATATTATCAAAGCATAAATTATATACCTTTTTCAAATAAAATATTATAAATCCGATTTTACGGAATCCTGGAATTCTTGAAATTGTTTTCTAGCTTCTCGATTTGATTGTAATAGCTGAATCAATTCTGCACGAATATCATCGTTTTTTTGTTCGAGGTTATCCAAAACCGAATTAAGCTGATCTAGTTGGGCATTTATAGCTTCGAATTCTAAAATTATAAAATTAGAATACGTACATTTTGCATGTAGAATACGTATGTTTTGCATGTAGAATTTTATTAAAAACATATAAAAAAAATTATGCATATAAAATATTTAATAAACCAAGGGAGCATTTTTTTATTTTGTATATTTTTATATAGAATTATTATTTACCAGCGTCATTGCAAGTTGCTTCCTCTTCTTCATTTTCCCATCCATTTTCATCACCTTCGTGATTTTCTTTTGGCTGTACTGCGTTCTGAACCATATTTTCATCTGCCATTACCTTTAACTACCATTATCATTCGATGCGATATATAAATAGAATTCTGATTATACGTATAATAACAAATAAATATTAATATTAGGAAAATCGTAATTTGAAATGAATAAATTTTCTTCTGACATAACTGTTATTTATTAATGCAAAATGTATGAATATAAAATATAAAGTCAAGTTTTTTTTATACATTGTGAATATACCCTAAAACTAACTTACTTTAGAAAATAAATTGTTAAATCATATTACAACAATATATATATAATTTTTTTTTTAGGACATAACATATATGTAATTATTTCAAAAATGACAAAAAATTACAAATATTTTGTTAACAAACAAACAAACTACAACAAAACAATTAAAATGCATGGAATATTTAATAAAAACTTTAGTTATTTATAAAAGTTGTTTCATAAGCAATATTTAAAGTCTACTTCGTATTCCACCAGTAGCAACAATAGTTTCACCAGTTATATATGAAGCATCGTCACTTGCTAAAAATGCAGCAACTTTTGCTATGTCATCTGGTTCACCAAATTTTTGCATTGGTATTTTGGATAACATTATATCTCCCATTTCACCTTCACAAATCTATTTAAAATGTTATTAATGATATTAAAATAGTATTAATGATATAGTAAGATAATATATATTATTAATGATGTAGTAAGATAATAACGAAAAAATATAAAAATACATTACCATTTGCGAAAGTTTAGTCTTTATAACACCAGGTGCAATGCAATTGACACGAATTCCTTCAGGTGCAAGAGTAGCAGCAGCTACTTGATTTAGTCCTAATAATGCTGTTTTACTAACACAATATGCACCTAATAACTGCAATATTAATTTTCATATGAATTATACAAACATACTGTATATATTATATAAGATAACATACATATTTTAAATAGAATAACTTACAGGAAATGGCATATATCCTCCTATTGAAGATATAAGAATTATCGATGGAGATTTACTCTTTTTTAAAAGTGGTAAGGATTCTTGTATTAAAAGAAATGAACTTTTGACATTAATATTAAAAATTTTATCCCATATTTCTTCTGATGTTTCAAAAAATGTAGTTGATGCTGGATTTATGCCAGCATTTGATACAAGAATGTCTAAGCCACCAAATTCTTGTTTAGTCTAAAATAAAATAAATAAATAAATAAATATATTATACTCTTACGTATGTTTTAAGATGTTAAGATTTATAAACAAATAAATTTACTTTTTCAAAAAGATTCTTTCTATCTTCACTTTTACCAACATGACATATAATACCACAAACGTTTAAACCTTCAGATTTAAGTTGTTCTACAGCATTTTTTACATTTGTTTCTTTACGGCTGCTAATTATGACTTTAGCACCTTCTTCAGCTAAACGTTTTGCTATTCCAAAACCAATACTACAACAAATTACATTTTATTATTTACTTACGTTTACTCCTTTTTTTAATGAGTACAAATAATTAACAAATAAAGCTAGTTTTATATATTTCATAATAATAAATGTAAAATTCCACATTCTTTATATTTATATGGGCTAACGTAAAAAATTAGGATATATAATTTATATAAAAATATCGCAATTACGAAATGAAAATATTTTACCCTTCTGTAGATGCTGTAACAATTGCTACTTTTCCTTCTAATCGTTTGCATTTTATTTTGGATAAATTGCGTATTTGTTGCATAGTT